ACAAGAGTGTCCCGCAACAGTGTCCCACAAGAGTGTCCTACAAGAGTGTCCCACAAGAGCTTCCTACAAGAGTGTCCCACAAGAGTGCCCCACAAGAGTGTCCCACAAGAGTGTCCTACAGGAGTATCCCACAAGAGTGTCCTACAAGAGTGTCCCACAAGAGTTTCCTACTAGAGTGTCCCACAAGAGTGTCCCACAAGAGTGTCCCGTAAGAGTGTCCCCCAAGAGTTTCCTACAAGAGTGACCCACAAGAGTGTCCCACAAGAGTGTCCTACAAGAGTGTCATTTGGACATATGTAGCTTTTCGATCGTGTTTGCATTCGGGTTCGTGGGCTCCATCTTTTTTTTCTTTGTTTCTACTAGCGATGGCCTCCAACCAAATAGCGGTGGCCTCCACCCTAGAAGCGATGGCCTCCAACTAGTGCATTTGAGGACCCAAGCAATCCTCATGGGAGATCACTTGATGAATAGACAACGTTCAGTTGGAATTGCAGAAGCTGCGAAAAGCACAAGCTGTGAGTTTTGTTGGCATGTATATATATATATCTACCAGGATTTGTTCGAGGAAAGCTGGATAACAAAATCCTTGTCGAATTTGAAAGAGATTTGTTGCCTTTCCCTCCGCCGAGGCAACGCTTTCCTTATGCTCGTGAATTGCGACCAGGACATGTCTTGAGCTGGTTCTCTGCAAATACGAATACGTGCATGTGAATCGACAGGAAAGAGCCATCAAATACGTGCTCAGCTTGCAAGAGCAGGCCAGGCCAAGAGAGTCAAATGATTTCATGACTCCGGTGACTGCACATACGTGCACAGGTTAGTTCCATGGGGGACATTTTCCAGCTGGCGGTATTGGAACTGGTGCGAAAGGCGGCTTGGAAAGGGACAGAAATTCATTGCGGACCACCAACGATTTCTGACCTAAAACAGGAAAACAGAACTGCAATTGAAACAAGTTTGGCACTTTCTGCAAGCTCTTTTCTATCACAGTCTGGTGAAGTGCGGGAGTTTAACCTGGCTGACCGACCTCTGTTGATGTGGCTGACCTACACTGTGGGTTTCTCTCGGCTTTCTCAGCCTCAGGTGTGCCGCTCAACCTCGGTCAACAAGGGCCGGTTTCTTCGCATTGCTCCTTGGCAGTGCAGAAGTTCTTCAGCTAAACAGCAAGGGAGACCCCTTGATCTTGGCATTCGATGACCATCTAAGTGTGATATTTTCTCCACAGACACGGTCCTGCGCCCTTTTCGACGGTGGACCCGCAAAGCTAGCATCTCAACAGTTTGTCATTTTTTTGCCCAGAATCGTTTCTAGGACGGGAAATCAGGTCTTTCTTAAACATAAGGAGAAACATCTTTTCCGTGTGCTGTATTGCGCACATGAACTGACAATTGCGCCCTAAATTAGATGATTCTCAGGTTTTCGACTTAGCTGCCTCCTCATCCACTGCGGTGTCGGAGCCTTGGGTGACTGTCTGCGAAGATGATGGATGCATAGAAGAGGAAATTCGGGTGGCTTACAGGTTGACTCGCCTGAACCTCCCCACCCCCAAAGAAACTGGTTGATTCACGCACAAATGGCCCAGGTGCCATGTACTGGGTTCAGATCATTGAATTGCAATGATGGGTCATGGGTCTTCGATTTTCCCACGAAGGAGATGCCAAACTGGTTAAGATGGACATGGAATTTTGTGCGTGGCCATCACTTGTGCTTCCTCTCCAAGCCCTTTTGTTCTGTGCTTACGCAGCCGACCTCGCAGGTCTTATGAGTGCGCCTCCAGTTTAGTGACGCTCTCTTCTTCACCAGTGGCCATTCATCAAGCTGCTCAGGCAAGGGCAGCGTCATGTTTTCAGTTCACAAGCGTTTGAAATGAACAGGTGACAATTCTGCTCCTTATGACGCGGGTTCCTTTTCCTTGAAAGAAAGGATGATCGGTTCGGTACCAGATCAGCTTTGACGTCATTAGGCATGCAGTATGCTCAACATGTATCCACTACATCGATGTTGGGGCTAAACGAACAACTAGGATGTCGTGACTTTGTTGCTACGAGGCCTTTTTGTTGGGCTCACAAGAACTGACTGAACCTTCAAGACACTGCTTGAGGGATCTTTCATGATTGCGACTTCCAAGGTCTATATCAAGCAATCCCAGGTTTAGTTTTGACACAGACCTACAAACACCGACATGAACACCTTACGGCCTGGTGGGGTTTGGGCTACGCGCTGAGGCCTATGTGCAGCTCTTGACCGAGCAGTCCGACAACAATGTGAAGTTCCCTGACTACAGCACGAGTTGTGCGACAAGCTGGAAAAAGAAAGCTTCAATTTTAACGAAAAAACATCTCAGACGGAGATCACGTCCTTTAGGGGAAAGGATAATAATGTCACTGTACATATAAAGACACAGATTCCGTACCATCCAAATTCTTCTTCTCCGATTCCGTTCCTTTCCTCTAGTGATACAAACGGAAATGTAAAGGCCGGTTGTTGGGTGAAGATTAAAATTTCACCCTGCTGGCTCCTCCGGTGGCCATCGCCACGCGGCCCCACGACCTGCTGAGGCTCATCGTTTTGGACCGCTTGCGGGACGTGCAGAAACACCACAAGCAGGTGTTTCAGCCGTGGGGAGCCGGAGCGGGGAAGAAGAATGCTCCTAGTAGCGATGCCAGGAGCCCCTAGGAATGTTTGGGGCAAGAGACATTTTGTGGCAAGACATTTGGGGTGTCCACTGGAATGAAGCATTACAGTACTGTCTTGGTCACTCCACAAGCTGCATCAACTTATCTGCGCGACTTCTCGCCGGTCTGACTTCGTGACTAACCCGCTGAAAGCTGGCGCAGGTTATGGAGGGGATGGTGATGGACATCTTTCGGGCGCTTAGCTGTCCTTCTCTGGATGTGCGGAAGAAGGTTTCATGCCCCAGAGTGACAACTCAGTTCGGGTGGTTGAGAGAGCCGTGTGTTTTGTGTTGGAGCATTACGTGGCATGTGCTGCTTTTGGAGTTTGGAGATGGAGAAGGAGGTTAAGAGTCTGAAGCTATAAGATGGTATGACTATTTCCGTGTGTGATCCCTGATCTTGCTTTGGAGCAGTTGCTCAAAAGGCTGAAGCACACTGAAGCAATCACTCAAATCTCCAAACTGCGATAGCAAGAACCACTCTTCCGTTCCTCCCCCTCTTCAAAAGTATGGTCATCCCCCAGAAAAGGAGATGAGAACATCTTTGTCTTTGTAGGGTCATGGCAAAGATCCAGAACATGTCCTAGGCGGCTCCTGTTGCAAACCTTCACCCAACCCTGCAGACCTCATTTTGCTGGAGTTGGTCATAGATATACTGTATAAACAATACTCAATGAGGTGAGGAACGGTTGGTTCCTGCAGGGAGAGGTCTCCCCACCGTGGTCTCCCCACCGTTCCTTCCCTCGCCATGGCCGTCACGATCTCGGCGCCTGGGCGACATCTGTCCTTGCCCAAAGCGGTGGCGAGCTTGGGAGTAGAGGCTTGGAACCAGCAGGCAGGAAGAGCGTCACGTGAGCACAATGGGCCGGGGGGGCCGGGCTTGGCACCAAGAGCCACAAAAGATCTTGTGGCAGTAGAATCTTCGATCGCAGGCACCAGGCTCAGTTCAAGGCGGAACCCAATGGTGTGTTTTCTGGTAATTAGATGTGTTTGTGACGTGTCTTTGGAAACCATCCGACAACTGTGCCGATACAAGTTCACTTTCTGTAAAAAGGTTTCGTGTCGAGGGTGTTCGGATAGGCTCAGCTGACGCAAATGCTCAAGACGCTGGATGGGTCTTGCAAGGCGCATTTTTTCGAGTGTGGCGTTCATCAAGGGTCCAGGAAAAATGTGCTCGAAATGATCATGGCCCATGAATCATGGCCGGTCAGCAGGGCTTGTTGGTCACATGCGATCCTGGTGTTTTCCAGCTGGAGGGAGCCTTAGCAAGCTGCTTTAAATAGAAAAGCAAATCAAATGCGTTGTGCGGGATGGCTGCGACACTTCGAGGCTCGAACAGTCAGTGAAGTTATGCAAGAAGTGCGTGGCTTCTTCACCTTGGGCCATCTTCTGTATGCATATGCCTATTTGCGCATGCTCCACTACAAGGAGGGTTTGCTCTCAACTACTGTTTTGTCCAGCTGTTGGGAATGAAGTCTCTAACGACTTTAATGATCTGTCAAGTTTCCCTAAAAATCTAGGAACGAAATCATTAGTGCGAGCGCTTCTTCAAGAAAGCTCTCCCCCGCCCTCAGGCCGGGGAAGCTTCCTTGAAGAAGCGTGAGCTATCCAGCTAACTTATTGTAGCCTAGTAGCTTACCTCCTTATATAATTACTTAGATTTAGTTAAGTAGGCGCCTACTTAATTAAGTAGAAGCAGGCTACAGAAACGAAAGCTCAAGCGTTTTTGGATGCGGGAGGACCCCAACCTCTACTATGCGTCGCTGTGGTCAGACCCAGCCTTTCTCCTGCCGATTGTTTACACACCCACCGTTGGTGAAGCCTGCCAGAAGCTTCATGGATGCGGTCCGATATGTAGATATGTATATATATATATACCAATAAGTAAAGACTCCCAGCTTGAAAGTTTAGATGTCCTTGTACAAGCTTTGAACACCACTGAGTTTCAATGGTTTATTTTGTTTTGACAGTAAGTTTTATGATGGCAAATTGTCCGGGTGGAGAGAAGAACTTGGAGAGCTTGTGAACGAGAGCTGAGGTTTGGCATGTTGCCATTTTTCCCACGAGGGTGCTATGTCTCCATCTCAGACTGTGGAAAGATCAAGCAAGTGCTTCAAGAATATGCAGAATGCATGCTTCCCAAGGACTTCTTGTGATAGTTTGTTTGGTCCGTGGGTGGTGCTTTACTGGCTCTCTTGTGCTTGGTGGCGGGTTTCTTTTAGTCTTTGCTAAGAAGATGGCTGTAGTGATTTTCAGGTCAGGTGTCCTCTACGTCGAATGATTAGAGGAAGGGATTTTTTTGATTGGCTGCCGGACGTTGTCTCTGACGAAGTGAGGGAAACTGCGGCCGTTCTTGTCGTTCTCAGTTGTCGAATCTGTTCGGTTGGGTTCTCGCCCCGGCTTTCTTCAGGACTCAGAGGGGCGCTACGAATGCCAGTGCATCGTGTTCTCTGATGCGGGACGAATCTTGGGTCTTGGAGATCTGGGCTGCTGGGGGATGGGAATCCCCATTGGCAAGCTGGACCTCTACACAGCTCCGCGGCTTCGTTGACGCGAAGAGAAACCACACCGCCAAGTGCTGGTAGCAAGGTCTAGAGACAGGAAGGACTGCGTTGGCTGAAGGAAGTGGATTCGGGTCATGACTCACGATCAAAGTTTTGATTCCGCGCTATTCTGGGTTTGAAATGACATTCAAGATTTGGCAATGGGACACCCCCTTCTACCAGGGTGAAATGGACTCCGGGTTTTGACCCACAGCCCCACAGCCATATCCATACCCCTTCTTTTGCCTGTCGATCTGAGTCTGCCCTTTCGTCCTGTGCCGTCCTGAGCAGTCCGATGATCACACCCTATAATCCCATGAGAGATGATCTATCTATCTCTATATCTATCTATCTATCCATCCATTCATCCATCCATTCATTCATTAATTGATCGATCGATCGATCGATCGATCGATCTGTCTGTGTCTGTCTGTCTGTCTGTCTGTCTGTCTATCAGCCTTTCGGTGCAAGCGGCTATCCCTGGCCACGTTTTCCGTGATGTGATCGCCATGAAGCCACCCGGCAGCTGGATCTTTGGGGGTCCGGGCCCCCCGTGGATGTTGTGCATCCTCCTGCTGACCTTGACATTGCCACAAGCTGCTTGTTCACCGCCCGGTCCCAATTCTGGGTCCCTTGTTGGTATGGTTTTTGAAAATAGGAGTGGGAAAGAGCAGGGTTACCAAACGGCCTAGCGTTTGCCTGAAAGGGGTAGGGATACCCTTAGGGGAAGTGAAGCACCCCCTGAACAACTGGGCGAAGGGCAAAATGGATCCCACGCGATCAGTGTCGCAAAGAAGAGAAGCTTCAAAAGGGCTCATCAGAGGTGCCAGGCTCTGGATGGCGTGGAGCTACATCGAGGCAAGACGCTTTTTGGCCTGCCTGCTGTGTTGAGCTCAGCCACATCCAGATCTCGTATGTCCATTGTGAACATGAGCTTGACTTCTCCTGGATTCATCGAAGTTCTTCAATGGGCTCAGCTCCAATGCATTGATGCACTGCTTCTTCCTAGCTTACAAGTGGCTGCCCTCGAGCAAGCAGATGTAGATGATCAGTCACCTCTTCTGCGCAGAGTCGAGGGAATCTTGCAAGCTGAGGAAGGTCCTGACATTGCTTCTTTGGAATCAGAGGAGCAGGCTCTATGTGATGAAGTGGTGCTGATGCAACGTCCTGCGGGTGCAAGAGGAGCTGGATATGATGTTTCGGATCTGGCCGGGAGCTCGACAAGCAGAGGACGGTCCGCTGCTGTGTCGGGCTTCAGTGGTGAGACTCGGAACACTGATTTTGACTGGGTCACAACTTGGAGGCAGGTTCGACAATATCTCTGCGCATATGACCAAGCAGGTGCACCTGGCCACACACAGATACTTGTAGATTTGCTGGCTCTGAGAAGAGGAGCAACTGTCACAAGCGGAGTTTATTGCCCTAGTTGGGCGCTGGACGACCAAGCTGCGATCTATCACATCTATGACTGGTGTGAGGAATATGCCTTCCAATTTGACCATGCATTCACCAGAGCCTTTCCAGTTCAGACTGAACTATACCAGAATATGCCGGCCATCGTGGTTCTACAGCATTTGGAAAATTCAGTCTTGCCTCTGGTTGTGCAAGTTGTCATTGAGGTGCATCAGGTCCATGTAGTGATGCGAGCGCAGCAATACGAATATGTGTCTCAAGTCACCGACTGGGTTCATACACAGACTCAAGTCAGGTTGCCTTTCGAGATCTACTACCAAGCCACCCGAGTGGACTATTGGCAGCAGATTGAAGTCCGTGCAGGTGCGGTTCTGCAGGTACGAAGTCGTACACAGCGCGAGCTGGAGAATCCGGTGCAATCCACAGGTAAAACTGGCCCCTCGCTGGATCAGTACAGCCACACAACCTGGTCATCGTTGCCATCGGAGCCGCAGCCAATTGTTGAAGAAGAGGAGAGGGATGTAAATGAGGAACGCGCTCTTCTGCATGGGGTTCACGATGTCTGAACCGGGACTGCTCGACTTGCCATGTTCTCCCAGTCCTTTTTCAATGGCTGAGATTGGATTGTGAACTGGCTGCTCTTCACACGACACCTGGTGTTTGTCTTTTCCATGTGAGCCCTCTCCGAATGGAGATTGAGCACCTTGAAACGGCTGCGCCATGAACTGGCAGCTTTGTGCTTAGCTGATCAGTCACCTTGAACTTCTCTTCTGCTCTCGCCAAAGTGGCTTTTGGAGCAGAATGTGTTTTTGGTCGAAATGACCAGTATACTACGGCAGTGCACCACGGTGCATGACTGACTCTTAAGTCAGCCGGAGACACCTGTTCTCTGTGCCGACGCATTCGACGGACTCCCGACGAGCGCCTCAAACTCAAAACTCAAACTATCTATCTATCTAACTAACTATCTATCTATCTAACTAACTAACTATCTATCTATAGATATTGCAATATAGTATCTCTCTCTCTATAGAAGTATGCACATGTGTGTTTCATTTGTGCCACATGTTCCATTCGCTTGGTGGGATTTGGATCCCCAAGTCGCTCATGCAGAACTCGTGCCCAGTTCGATCTGTTCCCCTTCGCGATGCCGGGCATCGTTGGCGAGGTTTGTGCTGGATTCAATCCCTACAAGACTGTTCCCGTCATCATCGATGCCGGCTGCAGCGATGAAACTGGTAACTCTGCAAAGCTGAAGATTAGAGATCATGATCTCTACACAGGACTGACTGAGCTGAGGAGAGGAAGGGCTTGATTGGTTGGTCAGTTGGTCGATTCGTCGATTGGTCGGTTGTTGGGTCGGTTGTTGGGTTGGTTGGCTGGCTGGCTGGCTGGCTTTCGATGGGAAAATGAGGTGCAGATGCAACTTTGGGGCATTCCAACGACCTAGATGTTGAGAGGAGGATGACCGGCCCATACTGTTGTGGCTCTAGCGGCCCTCGGAGTGGAGCCCAGTCTCTGGTTTTGAGGGCGCGACAGAGGGACTCCAATTCGCAACTTTTGGGCTGCCAAAGTTTGGAAATTGTCCCGTGCTGTCAAATGCTTTGGAGACCTTGCAAGGACTGAAGCAAGACCGCATGAAGCATGAAGGTCCATCAGGCACGGCACGGGGCACAGTTTCTTTATTCTGCTTGGCATCTCAGAGTGTTTGCATGATTGCAAGTGGATTGACACTAAACAACCAGCCAACGCCTGCCATATCGGATGGGGCAGTTTGTTTCCTGCAGGTGCTATGGTGAACACGGCGTACTATGGGCCATGCTCCCTTATTGGTGAATTCATGCAAGCGGCCTCCGAACTCTTTTCGCGGAAGTGCCTTCTTCAGTTCGAGGCAAGAATCTTCGAACGCAGAGCGACATCCAATGATATACACGTAAGACTTCCCCAGTATATGCAGACTTTGGTGACACTTGGCCAATTTTGGCCAGAAAGTGAGCGCGGGTCAAACAACATAGTCCTGGTGAGAACAAAGGTTATCTTGTAGATGAAAGGTGTTCATCCCCCCGAAACATTGCAGACTACATTTTGATCAGACCCATGCAAGTAGGTGTCTTTTTCCCGGATTCGCAGTGTCAGACTTTCTAGTTCTAATTGATGATTTGCTGGGACACCTGGTCTGATAAACCTGAAATGTTCTAGATTCTCCTTTTGTTTAGGCTTGTTCATGCCTGGCCTAGCAGCATGGTAGTCTTGCTCCGTTCTTTCCAGGACTTCAACACCAATGACGCCTTTCCCCTTCTCCAGGAGCTGAACTGCGGGTCCCGGTGTCGTGGGCGCCGAGGGGGTTTGGGCAGTTCGGTTCGGGCGGTTCAGCGAGGAGTACCGGCACAAATTCCTCAGCTACAATGACGACATCCAGGGCACGGCTGCTGTGGTCGTAGCTGCAATCCTTGGTGGTATTCGAATACAGAAGCCAGGCAGGATGGTGGTAGAACAAGAAGGAGACGTAGAATTCTGCTCTCTTGTTCATTTTATACTTGTCTTGCTCTTGGGCTATTGGTTTCCAGCTAGGCAATTCGCCTACTAGACACGAGCATCATTGGTAAGTTTAGATGAAATTGTTAGAAGATAGCATGGAAAAGATAGCTGAGGTGACACTGAGGTGTCAACATTTTGCATTTGTTTTGCATCGACAGAATGTCTTCAGGTTGCAAGGAGCTCATCAAGGACCCGACCCCGATCTAGAAGTCTTTCAAGGGACCACTAACTCTGATTCGAAGGTTGTGGTTCTTGTGGGAAGAGTCGCTTTTCACACTGTTACTACATGCTAGTTTGCAGTGAAGGCAAGAATGCTGCGATGTTTTGAGAAGGGCAGTTTAATAGGATAACGTTGTAACTAACTGGTGGAGCGCACTGGTGCACTTTTTTTTCAACCAGTTTTCGGATGACCAGGATGACCCCCCAAAACGATGAAGTCTTGCAACTAGAGAGAGCATCCGGGTGTTCACATCGTAGCAAAATCTAGAAACCAAACGAATAGTGCCTGAGCATGCGTGAGCTATCCTGTGTCCTACCTTACTAAGTTAAGTAGGCGCCTACTTAATTTAGCAGTAGGGGCGGAGAGGGCTTTAAAGAAAAGCGGATCACTTACGTTACGCTTGTAGGCTGACGTTTTCAGCTTCTTCTTGAGCCTCTTTGAAGGGGCTTTGAGACAAAGAGAGCCCAAGAGCCTTACCGTAGCTTTAATGCCCCCCTTTTTGCTTTTGGATCCTGGCATACCCCTGGTCTGTTTTCAAAAACGGAAGAGCGGCGGCGGCAACCGTTACTATCCACCAACAAAAGCCTGGCATCTTGACCAAGATATGGACACGTCTCAAAATTACGACAGTGGTTGATCAGCAAACTGATCCCCTTGTGGTTTGAGCAGTTCTGAAAAAAAGGTATTTGCAATTTCCTGCTGGCGTATTTCTGGGGTCCAAAAAGACACTGGCCATTTTTCTTGGGCATGTCTTCCTAACGTCCTTTCTCCAAAGCAGGAGCTCCGAAAGAAGAAGGTGCTCTTCTACGGTGCCGGCTCGGCGAACCTCGGGAGTGGCTTCGGCCCAAAGACGGGGCCCAACCGCGCGTGGACGGTGAGTACTTCTCTGGGCCCGGGGAAGGAAATTGAGATTTTAGTCTTCGCATATTTTTGGGTCCATTTGGGTCCATGAGAGCCTTAGTTTTCGTATGTCAAAGATGATTTGGAATAAAAGGTCGCACCGTTACACCGCTGGCTTTTCCAGTTACACCGCTGGGTACCAGGGTGACAACCGAAGAGGTGCCGAGCCACCGGTTTGCTAGCTGCTGGGTACCACCCAGGTGCCATGCTGTTGCGGGATGAAGCGGGCGTGCCCGCCCAGTCGATCCTGTGCACGAGCCTGGGCGCCGTGTTTCGCCCGTGGGTGAAGCTGAAGCGTTTCCCCTCGTGTCGCGGTGTCGCCGCGTTCGGTCTCTTGCGCGTTCTTCTGGATTCAAGGGCGCTGAAGCAAGTGACAAATTGGTTTGAGAAGCCATGACAGGTAGTTTTGAAGACCTGTATACAGCATACATGTATAAAATACATGGACTTGGACCGCCTGTGGACGCACTCAGACTTGAAAGGTTTCAGCCCATTTCAGCTCCTCAGGAACTCAAAGGGTGTGATTTGGAAGTCAGAGAAGGGCACCAAAGGCAATTTCAAGAACTTTGAGCAGAAAGAAGTCGCAGCAATTGGCCCACATCTCAGTTTGCTCTCCGCTTCGTTGGCGTTGGTCGTTCTTTGTTTCGACTGAGGTGAACCCACCGGGTATGACCACACAGATCTCATTGCTATCTTGAAACATCACAAGCCAGACGTTCTGATTGGCGCAGCTGGGCACACGCGGATTTGGTTCCACCATGAGCCATGAACAATTTGAGCAATTTGGAGAGGTGCTGTCTTGTTGCTTGCTCCCTTCCATACCCTGGAGTCCAAGACTATTCAAATAATGGTCTTTCGATCACCTAAGTCTAGGAACTTCCTTTACTTCAGTACGGCAAAATATCATCAAACTTGGATATTTTTTTTGGGAGACTAAAAAGCGTTTCTTTCTTCTTTCCATTTCTCTGATCCACTTCTTTTTGCGGTCTGAAGTTTGGCATTCCCTAGTGGTTTGGGACATTTGTTCCCAAGGCCGTTGGGCGAGCACCGGGTTGTTTCAACCAAGCGGTGGTGGAGACCATGGTGCAAATCCAGAGAGAGAAACCGGGAGGCTGGGAAGAGATATTTGTTCGAGCCGATTTGCAAGCGAAAGGGAGTGAACAAAAGGTGCGAACACTTGTTTGTGGACATCCCAGACGTTTGAAGTGTGAGGTTTCTTGCAAGGCCCTTTATTGTGACTTCGATTGGACGCGTCTTTCCGTGATCGAAATGGACAGCAAGATGGAACAACATGGTGGTCCTTGTTCTGATTGGTTCGCCCCTTGAAGAGTCCTACCCAGATCATCCCGAAATCCGTTTCGGCCAACTTCCATCAGGCGACAATCCCACGAACTACTGTATGGAATTTGTGGATGGAAGACATCCTGCACCCCACTTGGCATGGTACGTTGCCCCTTAATTTTTGGACCGCATCATACCCCAGTAGCTCTTCCGACCTTCCTCATGCATGCGCAACATCCCGGCTTTCGAATCCCAGATGAGTATTTGCGGAAGCCAACCGCACGACCTCTATGACTTGGCGAGAACAGATTTGACCCGCAGAAAGTTGGGATCTCATGCATCTCACCGGACAAAACCAGTGGTTTAGATGCGACCCATTGGTCTTGAGTTGAAGTCAGACCCGTTGTCTTATCAAAGCAGCACCAGGTCTTGGGCATCGGGATGCTCGTCCAGACAGACCAACCTCTAGACAGATCCAAATCCCTCAAAGATCTTGGTGCAAAGCGCTCGTTCTCCATCCGTCGGCACCCATCCGTGCCCATCCGCTTTCTCCTGTGCTCCAGGTGGTGGACGACCCATCATCTTTGCCCTGTCGAATCCCATGAGCCAGGCAGAGATCACCGCGGAGGATTGCTACAAGTTCTCCGAGGGTGAGGCGGAGAAGGGTCGTATTTTTTTTCGTTTTGGGGTCCGAGTGGGGGTGAAACCTACCGCTGCAAAGGGTGCTTGGTGGGCACACTCGGGGGGAAATTCGTTTGAGACCACAAGGGGGCCATCCCCCCCCCTCTCTCTCTCTCTTTTTTTATTCATGAAACTCATGAAACATGAAACATGAGACCTGACCTAGCATAGGTGGGTCCTCATGTTCCCCCCAAACTTGTGGCAAGCAATGTGGCCATTTCGGTGTGGATCCGGATTGGTGGGAGTCTGGGAGAAGTGACAAACTGCCCAGCCCTTGGTGAACAAGCTCCTAGTAGTGTCCTTGTTCCTACTAGTAAGGCCAGGAGCCCCTAGTAGCGTCCTTGCTCCTAGTAGCGATGCCCTTTGCTCCTAGTAGCGTCCTATGGATCTGGCCCGGGTTCAGAAACTACGGTTCAGCAACTGTTTTTGTCGAGTTCAGACACCGGTTTTGTCGGGTTCAGACTTTTGCCGGATTCAGTAACGTTGGTACCAGAGCGGTCTTCATCCTGTCAGATGGGACCCTTTGACGGATTGAGGAACATTTTCACGGGTCCAGTCTGTTCTTGAGGATTGGTTTCGGTCCACAGCTTTTGGACCCACACCCAAACAACGAAAAAAAACAACACAAACACCGCTAGTCGCCGTCTCTGAGGCGATCTTTGGGTCTGGGACCCGCTTCCCGCCCGTGAACTTCAAGGGCAGGACAGCAGTCTTTCTGCTGATGTTGACTTTTGGGGGAACAAACCGCTGGCACGTGTGGAACTTGGATGAGAATTATATATATAGTAGCAGTTTGTGTTCTATATAAATGGAATCTATCCTGAATCCTGAGTATTGATTTTAACCATGTCACATCATCCATTGCCATATACTTCAAGAACGCCGTAGAAAAAGTCCGAGACAGGGGGCGATCCATCACGTCAGTCTTCAAGGTATGTCTGCATTGCGAGAGGAAAAGAGTACCTGGACAAGTGAACAACTTCTTCATCTTTCCCGGGATGTCCTTTGGGGCCTACTGGTGTGAGGCGGCCGAGAATGAATGGACATGAGTACATTACATCGATTCTGCTGCATGTGCTGCATCGAATCAGACAAAATCATCCAACGCCTGCTGCATGGGAACTTGTGGAGGATAGATGTCAAGAGTACAAGTCAACATCCCTCTCGCATGTCGAGCATCCGTCGTGAGCATTCATGAATTTTCATGCATCGGTGATCTCAATTGCCCCTTCTCTTTGGAGGCTTCAGCAGCCCGAACACAGAATAGTAGTAGATGATAGTAGATGTTTTTCACCCTCTAGGAACCACTGCATTCATGGCCATATAGTTAAGGAATACTGCTTGAGGCGCTGGGTCGCCCTTGTTCTTTATGTGGATGTGCATCTGCTTCATTCTCCGCGGAAAAAGAGTCAGTCCTATAGTAATGATTTTGTAATGCAAAGAAGGGATGTAGGGACTCATGACTACGGCTCGCAGAGAATTTTTGCTCAGGCGGAGAAAATCCCGGACAAATGGTTCATGATAGCAGCTGCCACAGTAGCACAATCTCTGGATGAGAAGGACATGGAGGCGAGGACTATGCAGATCGTTCAGCTTCTGTGGAAGGTATGAGCTCATGCTCATCTCAATCTTTCAACACCGACTGTGGCACATCCTGTGGTCCGGTTCTGCTGATCAAAAGAGGATTAGCACCAAGCGAGTGCCTTTTCGGCAAATCCGCTCCGCTGCGAAAGTTTCCCGTAGCAGTCATCGTCGGCAGTGTTGGGTCGAAGTGGTGGACGTTGGTGCGAACATCGCCTTACCTGGAGGGTGCAGTGCAGGTACCGTAGGGCAACGTGAATTCCCTACAAAGCCAAAACCTTACTACTAGGAACAAGAAGCTACTAGGAGCAAAGGGCATCCCTACTAGGAACAATGAAGGACGCTACTAGGGGCTCCTGGCCTTACTACTAGGAGCAAGAACGCTACTAGGAACAAAGGACACCATGACACGCGATCACCATGACACCTGGTCGAACAGCGGAAGCGGATAGGGCGCGGCCGAAAAGACGGTGGCAGGTGGAGTCTGTTCTGCCGCATCCTGCTCGCATTCAGCAGGTGCGCAGTGGTGCGCAGATTTTGGGTGAGATGTGATGTGCTTTGTTTCTAGTAGCTTCTTGTTACTAGTAGTAATGCCAGGAGCTACTAGTAGCGTCCTTGCTCTTAGTAGAAATGCCCTTTGTTACTAGTAGCATCTCTTTTTGTAGCAGTGTTACAGCTAGAAGATAGTTTCGAGTGGCACCCGCATCTTTGGAGGACTTTGTATCCTGTCAAAAGTGATAACAGTTGGTTCCCGTAATTCCTCGGTGTCAATGTCAACTGTCGACAAGGATGACAAGGGAGGTTTTTTGCGTGTGTTTTGTTTTTAGGTTTACCTTGCTTCCCCAAGCTGCTAGACCTTCAGATGGATCTTCACGATCTGCGCAGGTGAGCCACAATGTGTCCGTCAAAGTGGCCATGACGGCTCATCGGGAGACTTGGCCGAAGGGTTAGGAGATGGTCCAGTCAAACCGTCCATGCCTATTTGAGTGTATTCAAGCGAGTGGTTTTCCTGCAAGTCTATGTTCTCTCTGAGAGTTTTTTGGGGCCTCAATCCGTCTCTCCCATCTCAATGTCTTGCCTGCGCATGCCTGCGCAACATTATTGTATCCGTCCGGCACGGGTTGTAGTGGGGGAGAGGCTGACTGTCACCATTTCCAGAATTTCTGAGGCCCGAACATGCGACAGGTTCTATGGCTTAGGAAGTTTTGGAGTGCCACTTGATCCTAATGTTGACTGATGACGAACAACCCCCCAGGACTAGAGATGTAAGTCCATTCTGCTCGAGAAATTGACATATCATCAGTCCACATTACACTGGACATGATCTTCGTGTCGGTCGAGCGGTCGCCCGCCCTGGTGGGAGGTGGATTCTCCGGTCACCTGAGAATCCATATGGCTGTACCAGGATGCTGAACGGTTGACCTACCTGGTGTTGGTCAAGCTACTGGGTGGACCTGGTCTCCAAGTTTTGACCCATCCCCATATGAATCCATCTCCGCTCTTCTGGGAGCGGGCAGAAAGTTCAATGCCGTATTACCGTATTGTTATCATAAATCATGGTATATTGATATATGGTTATATTTATATAAATCCCTCTCTCTCTCTCTCTCCATATGTATACATATATCCGAAGCAGGTTGGAGGCTATTGCTATTGGGTTGGAGGCCATTGCTATTAGGTTCCTTTTGCTATTTTGTTTCGGAAGCGAAAGCAACATCAAGATCTGGAGAAAACAACGCGAGGAAGGACTTGCTGGCCGACCTTTGGGTGAAGATACGGCTTCCGTGAGCACTGCGCTGAAGGCGGATATGTTTTTTCGGAGCGAGACTCAAAGACTGGAAGGACTGAAAGACTGACACGAAAATGGTGCACAGAAGGAGTCTGAATGCATGTCAAAGGGTGACCAATTGACTGAAGCCGAAGCCATTTTTTGGATTTGCTTTTCCAGCAGCTGACTTTCTGCGTCAGGCGCGACGCTGGATGCCCTACCGAGTACCTGAGGGTGTTGGGCAACCCTGCAGCTGCAGTATATCTTAAAGATATCCTGTGGTGAAGGGACTCATCTCCTCAACCAAGTTTTTTTAATTTTGGCTTGCATGGAGAAGCACAGGTCGCAAGCAGATTGCAGATGGCAAGCGACCATCGGATATCTAGATCTCCTCACAATGGCATTTGCTTGGGACCATGAGCTTCCAATTCTTTTTTCCGTCCTCCAGAGTATGTTGGATATGACGCTTTAGGCTTAGGGCGTTGGATTTAGCTTGGTGTGCAGGGAGGGACAGTTGGCCACCATTGTAGATCATGTTTGTCAAGGTGTTGGAGAAGAGTGAGGAAAGAAGATGCCAAGCCCTGCAAAAAAGAGCTGTCCTGACTGCTGCGGATTGCCCCGAAGGGGCGTTTGGGTTGACAGTAGAAGCGTTAGAAGTCTCGGAGATGGAAGGAGAGGAAATTTGGATGAGCAGGCCCATCACATGACCTTGGGAAATATAGGAGTCTAGTCTAATGGTCCCCTCCTCACTAAAGAAAGATCCCCTCAAGACGGGCTCATCCGCGAAGCCTGCGCATTTTCTTTGCGGGGTCTTTTCATTGCCTCAGTTGAGGATCAGGTTTCACCCACTCTGGAGCAGGCCAAACGAAAAACACCGGTGCGAAAGAATTCGATTGCAGTCCTAACGGGGCCCTGAGCGGTGCCAGCCCATCCCGTGATTTGAGTGAGGTTGTGGACATTTGCCTTGGCTCCTTGGTCAGCCCACGGAACATCAAGGAGGGGTGCGTAGGACAAGTGGATCAAAAGATGACAGGTCGCACATGAGGTTAATCTGGTTGTGTTGCTCGATCGGCTGTGAAGTGCCAGCAGGATATTGTTGCGCTGCTGAAGAAGGAGGTGATCAAGACTTTGGGTTATGAGGCTTTGCTTCAAAGGGAACGGCCTGAACAGCGGTCCTTCCCAAACCTGGACCGACGGTCGGCAAGTCACTTCAACCAAGGAGACTTCATCCTCGGAAATCCTGGGAGTCCAGTCGACTATTCAAAGAATGGTCTTTCGGTAACCTGAGTTGACCGACTTCCTCGATCCTTCAGTGGGGCAACATCTCGTCGAACTGAGATATTTTTTTTGGGAAAAGAACATGAAATCCGGAATTGGCAGCAGCTGAGAATTGACTAGCAAACATTTAGGGTTTAGTGTTGTGTCCACATCTCCGTTTGTCGGGGAGCCTCGCGCATCAAACATGGGAGAGTTTGACGCCAGGCTTCAAACACTGAGGGCAACCTGGAGTATCGCCGGCTTCTGATCCGAGCCCTCCATGCATGCACAGGTGCGGGAACCGGGGAACCGGATGCAGCACATTCTGAAAGCTGGCTCGGTTTTCTGTTTTCTAAAAGAAGGTTCGGATCACATTCAACTGATCCCCAAAGGGCAGAAATTTGGATTTTCTCTCTTCCTGCCAGCTGCGTTGTCGTTGATGACTATCCTCGTGCGGTTCTCCGTGTTCGGGTCGCTTCATGGCCAACGAATGGCCGCAGTGTGAGAAAACATGGAGCGGACAGTTGCGACTGTACACCAGCGTTTTTCCAAAATACCGACTGGTGCTTAGTAAGGTATGGAAGAATGAGCCCCCAATAAAGAATCCTTAGAATCCATTCCCTTGTTCCCTTCCAAGCGCCAGTTAGAATATTTCCATATATTTCCTCTATACCAACACCTTCCTGTCTGGACACCTCACTAAAATAGAAGACTGGTTCTCCGCTCTCCATTCATTGAAGGAAGGCCAAGTTTCACTGCCCTTTCTTCCAACCAAGCTGACCTGGCGGACAGGCCTCTCAAAGCTCCTGACAGGTCAATATCCTGATCAAGCCCAGAGCGTGATGTTCCTGCTGATGGATCCTCATTTGCACTGATCTCCACTTCTTTTTAGGTGCTCTGCCACACATTTGGGCAATACGATTGGTGTACCACTGCTGAGGCAGGCTTCAGTTTTTCTATGTTTTTCTAGCCTCACAGCTGATTTGATTTGTGAATCGTTCTGTACAAAGCCCCGTGGTGGTTCCTTCCATGGGGATAACTTGATAACCCATGGTTTGGTGTTTTGCAGGTGAGGTGTTCCCAGTGCCCCAATGTTTGGACACCTCAAATTGGTAGTGAAGCATGACCACTGTCGGACAGTCTTGACGCTGGACTGGCTGTCCGGCTGTCCAAACGCTGGACTGGCGTGGCCCAGTGCATTCCTCACTGCGAACGACGAAGATTCAGGTGTTTATGCACCTGCTTAACAACAACCCCCAGACTGAGCAGAATCCCAAATCTCTTCCCTGCGCGTTTCGGGTTTGAGTCCACCTCACTAAGTCCCGTGCGTTTCGGGAGCAAGCCGTGCAAAGCCTTTCCACTCCGTCGGGTTTCTCCGGTGGCACTGAGGATTTCCTCACGGAGTCCGATCAAACCACAGCCACAGAAGTGGCCAGATGCCCAGTTGACCCTGCCAGATGCTGAAAGCAGCCCGACTTCCGGTTCCTCCAAACTGATGGGTGAGAAACGGACCGGGACCCAGACCCCTTCCAGAGGATTTGGGGCCAGTCCCGGTTGCGTTTGGGCTGAGGGGGTCTCGGAGGGTTTTCGAGTCTTGGCCACCGAAGCAGGCACACCCAGGAGCCAACTTGTTGGGGGCCTGCGCTTGTCTTGCAAAGCTTGCCGCGGGAATCGTCCAGCTCCAAAGTTCCAATGGATAAACCATGATCAAAGATGATTCGATATACTTGTAGCATTACGAGTAACAGTCAGTCGGTACCGGATTATATATATATAGTTTTGAGAAAGGCCTCTACTACCTACTTTACCTTACCTTACTTTGGCTTAGCTTAGCTTAGCTTACCCCTGCCTCCCTCCCTCTGTCCTTCCGTCCCTCCGTCCCTCCATCTCTCCGTCCGTCCCTAACTAACTAACTAACTAGCTAACTAACTAACTAACCAACTAACCAACATTAACCAACTAACTAACGAACGAACTAACTAACTAACTAGCTAACTAGCTAACTAGCTAACTAACTAACTAGCTAACGAACTAACTAACGAACTAACTAACTAGCTAACGAACTAACTAACGAACTAACGAACTAACGAACGAACTAACGAACTAACTAACGAACTAACTAACGAACTAACTAACTAACTAACTAACGAACTAACTAACTAACTAACTAACTGGCTAACTAGCTAACTAGCTAACTAGCTAACTAACTAACTAACTAACGAACTAACTAACTAACTAACTAACGAACTAACTAACTAACTAACGAACTAACTAACGAACTAACTAACTAACTAACGAACTAACTAACTAACTAACGAACTAACTAACTAACTAACGAACTAACTAACGAACTAACTAACTAACTAACTAACTAACTAACCAACTAACTAACTAACGAACTGACTAACGAACTAACTAACGAACTAACTAACTAACTAACGAACTAACTAACTAACTAACTAACTAACTTAACTAACTAACTTAACTAACTTAACTAACTTAACTAACTTAACTAACTTAACTAACT